TTGTGAACATTTGCCGTTTTGTCTATTTAACAAGTGTGGCTTTAGTAAGTCCTTTTTTTTATTGTAAATGATTTTAATAAAACCTGGAGTTTTTATGCACAGCGCTGAGCCGCATGGTGCCTGCGGGCTGCGGGGTTATCCCAGTCCTGGGGTCTTGCCTTCAGGCTGGGGGGGGGGGCTCTTTAGTGTGAAAGACTTGGGAGTTACTGGGGAAATGGAAGAAGTAAATTGGTACTTTTCAATGTCTGTTTGTTACAAAACAGATAAGATAGGTGTGTTTCACTGTCAATAAAAAGATGTGGTTGAAGCGCTTATTTACGGTTCTCTTAATGGACATGTGGAATCCCAGGAAACTTTGATGGTTGCAAGTCCAATGAAAATAAGTTAAGAAGGTCAGAATGTTTTTTTTTTTTCCAGAAAAAACATGAACTCAAAAGATATAGTTCAAGAACTTTTTGGATCCATTGCTATACGCAGCTTAAGTGAGATAGAAAGGAAATATGTAAGAGGAACCCAAGAGGTCTGAGGCTGCAGTTCTATAAAAATCTCAGCAAGGCCATTGAAAGAGAGCCTTTTCCTTGGAGAAATGTAAGAGCACTTCTTGATGCCTGGTACCGTAAACCTTTACCCAAGGTAACAAATGTCCCTGTGACATACACTTACCAAAGAGACCAGTAACATTATTTTACTTCATGCTGAGCACTTTCCCTTTAAGCAGTGGACTGCATTCCAAGGGTAGCCATTAGCTACTAGATGTGCTACACCCACCATCTCCAAGGATACTGCAAACAGTGTGATGTTAATTCTAGGCTTGGAACGAAAATCTCAGGCTATAGTTCAGCACTGGTTTGTTTGGAGAAAAATGCAACCTTCAGTAGGCATGCAACACCTCACGTTCTTTTAAATTCTCCATGAGGTAGTTAAGAACTGAGGCAAAGACAATAAAGCAGGGGAGACAATACCTCAAGGTTATTTGGAATCGGCGTTAATGTGTGAAGAATGGAGGAGGAAAGTGTTCAAAGCTCTCACCTGGAAGGCACAGAGGCAAGAGCACCGCCTGGCCACGATCGAGAAGACGCAGTAGTGGAGCAGAAGCCTAAACTACAAGGTAAATAAGGTGTAAAAGTGTATTAAAAGGATGGGTGTCATTCAGGCATCAAGCATAGCTCAGGCTGAACTCATCAGTGTGAAGAGGTGCATTGCTAAGGAAGTACTTCAAAGGAATGCAAAGTTTACAGAAACTCAAAAGAACGAGTGTCGTTAAAGCCAACATCATTCATCCTGCTCAGCTGTTGCGTACGTGCTGTAATAGCTTCTTCGGTTCTCAGGTTTTCCCAGAATACTCCAGGGGTTTTCTAGAGAAGATTGCATCGCTTCCTCATCACAGTCGCTGGAGAAGTGAGTTGACATCCGCCAATATTGAAACCTGCGGTATTTGGGCATCTCATCATTCAGCGGATATTATGGTGGTAGGACATGTTATGTGACAAGCACGTCTCTGAATTACATTGTCAAGTGCCATGACAGTTCAGGATGTTATCTGTTAACTTTTGACGTAAAGATGTGAGATAATGCATTTTTAAATTTGCATCTTATGCACTGTGAGATCCAAAGATGAGACTGAAACCACTGCATCTGTACCATCACATTAATGTGATTCTTTTTGCTTAAAAATAAGCCCCATCTAGTTCAACGGGTCAGTGAAACAGTCACTCAATAATAAGAATTTGCCTTTTTTTCCTTAATAAAACGATTAAACGTTGGTACAGCCATTCAGAAACAGATCTCGGCCCTCGGTGTGGAGTCCTACTGGAAGGAGAATCCATGATATCCCGACACGGCGACAGGTGTCAGTGTGACCTCTGGCCTCAGGACTCCGGTAAGGTGCTCCTCCATCTCCGGTCAGTTATCTCCACATCTCGGATGGGCACCTCTCCCGAAAGGACAGAACGAGTGCTTTCTCAAATAAATCAATCCAGATTTTATTTGTGCTGACAAAAGGGTTTGTGGGCCTTTTTTGTCTATGTGTTTGGTTCAGTTGGTCTGTTAGGATGGTGTGTATATTACAACTGAATCCCAGGGAAGTGAGGGTAGCCTGAATGCAGCTAAAGACTTACTGTATACATGTATACTAAAGTCTTAACCTCTTTACTTATAAAGAGAATACATTAACTAACCACAATTTCAAACTTTTAATTTTTAGTGACCTACGCTTCCACCTATTCATACAGCTTTACATTTTACTGCAATAATTCAGGTCTGGTGCCTCGCTCAAGGATAGACCAGCAGTGTCTCACTTGGTATTTGACCCCACAACCTTCCAGTGATGGGACTAGAACTTTAAACACGGCTCTACACTAGTTTTGTGTGACATGTTTAGAAAAACAGCTTATGGTGGCCTGTGGTACCTGCGCTTCGATAACATGTAGTGTTCTTTTATCTGTCCGCTCAGATTCGGTTTCTTCATGCTCAGACCAGGAGCTAAAGGAGATGGGCACTTTCACAGATGTGCAAGTAATACAATTTATTCTCAACTAACTGATGTACAGTTTGCAAATGATAATTGTTATAACGTACACTACCATGTGCACATGAATCACATTCTGTTTCAAAGCAGAGGCACTGAATGTCTCTACATTCTGTATATATGGCATTTGTTTTGTCTGAAAGCTTACTGAAGACTTACTGCAGCTATTAGACTCCCCATTAATCCCTGGAATTGGAATGCCTGCTATACTGAGCTACAAGCAAGAATCTAGGGACCTCAACTCCAGTTACAGAAGTGTTGCTGATCAGGTACAGTGTCTGCTTCTGCTTTATTTATTCTTCTCTATAATAATATCCTAAATCCAAATACTTTGTTTGTATCTAAAGACATGGACTTTGCAAGACATTTATTTTCCCTCTCTGTGTATTTTTATGGTGGTAGTAATGTCAAAGGAGATCTTTGCGCAAAAGAATTTGCACTTGACTCCATCAAATTAATTCTTCACGGAATTTTAGAAAATGACTCATTCTCACGACTGCAGAATCGCAGAACCTAGCAGGAGTCTATAGGCCCAAGACTTCTAAAGCACAAAAGTTGTCGTTACTGATTTCCATACATCAAAGTGATCTAGAAGCATTGGTCTGTAGCTGTGACAGGTGTTTCTGAGCAATAGTCCCTGGACCTCTGCTGATAAGTTTAAGCTCGATACCTGAAAAGACACAACCAGAGCCTGGCTGATCTCTTCTGTCTGTTCTTGTTGTTTCACAGCCCCCTGAAGCTGTGGCTTCAAATGCAGAATGTGAATTCTGTGGCAGACCAACACTGCCATTTCCCACCTGCAACCAGCTCGGAAGCGGACGTGCCAGTGAGGTGAAAAAGTGGACAGAGACCTTATTGTACAGCTCTGATGAACGAGAAAGCAAATATCAAAAACAAGTTGTGACCGGCTGTGTCCTTTCCTTATCAGCTGAATGCTTGTGTGCACAGAAATATTACTTCCTGGAATCTGTGTTCGTTTATCTCCTGACACTAGGGCAGAAGGAGGGGGTCAGTTCCTGGCACGTCACTCTTGAGCTGTTATCACACCACCAACCCACTAATACCCTCTGACGTTTTCGAATACAACAGCTTCAGACTTTTCCCTTTCATAGCAAGTCTCCTGCCTTTCGATGAGCTGCTGCTGTAGGACCCGTCCATTCGTAGCAAGGGTCACTTTGAGTGGGCTGTCTTTCCCACTGGCTGTGCTGAGACCAAACCTTTCCTTTACTCGTGAAATGATCTTCCTTTTGCGCTCCCTGACTTTCACAGACACCCATGTTTATTCTCAGGAGCTGTCGGCATAGGACGCCGATTCAGGATGAACACCGGAGAGCTGGAGGCTTTACCAGCAAGCAACGGGTGCAAGGCAGGGTACACCCTGGATGGGACGCCAGTCCATCACAGGGGAGACACAGACACGCACACAATTAACCTACAAGCATGGACATCAGACGTCATGACTTGAAAAACAATTCTGCTTAACTTTACCATCTCCTTATACACACATGGTTCTGCATATAGAGGAAGTGTGGTATATACCCCCCCCAAGGCTCCTGTATCTAGTGACCTGGCTAAACCCCACTCGATTTGCATGCTCCCCCCTCTATGGAGCCCCCTTAAATGGTGGAGCAATTTCTCACTCCTTAACCTGAACTGCTTTAATGTCAGGCTGCTGGTTCTTGTGAAAAGTGCTCTACAAATACAATGAATTATTATTACAAATGTGTAAAAATTAAACTAAACGTCAGGTAAAACCAACCGTTGCATGGGACAGGGTGGTCACTCAAGTTTAATTGCAATAACCTTGAAATACACAGAACACAAGGCGTCACTTGTACTATTGACAGATCTGTGAATACTGTAGTCTGTAGTACTGCCTTCTACAGATGCAGAAAACACAGAGAGCTGTGGGCAAGTGAGGCACAAATACTGTCTATTGAACAGGAGTAATAAAAATAGTATCCTGTCAGATTAAAGATTACACACAGAACTACATCACTCTCTGTAACGGAGGCTGAACAACTGGGAACACATTTCCCTATTCAGATAATGTATCACTCAACAATGAGAGATTTATTTTAGCCTGATATATGTTACAAACCGAAGACAACAAGTCCCTTCATTAGAGCCAAGATTCCAGTACTTTTTGGTGCTCACATTATCTGGACAAACTCTGGTTTCTGGGTCGGTTGAACGAGGTGCGCTCTCTCTGTTTCGTCTCTCTCCTGTTCTTCTCTTCGCCACTTTTTCCCATCTCTGTCTCTTATCTTATAATCCCATCTGCTTCATTGACCCACTAGGAAGGCTGTCTTAATGAGTCAACCGAGACTGGACTGCTGTTAAATATTAGTACAATTGTGTGACTGCCTGGATTTTCAGCCAGCTTGTGCATATACTGTCTCAAGGCTGCTTGTTGTTTTACTTTTTTTAGAATGCGAAATTTAAACGTTTGAATATGTCCCCAAGGGACATTCATCCCTTACTAATCATGATTGTAATTGTTATTGTTTTCACCATCCATTTAATTCTTGATTCAGTCTAATATTTAAATGTCCTGCAATTCAGCTGGCGGTGTCAGCAAGGAAGAGCTGGATGTTAACTGTAACTGCTGTTAAGAGACCTCTTAACTAAAATTTCTCTACATGTAATTTTAACCATGTCAGAGTCATACTGCGCTTGTTTTTCATTATCCCTCCCAGCTTTTCTGCTGTCCAGAGTACCAGCGGTTGTACGAGTTCCTAGTAAGGGAGAAGAGTGTCATTCTGGAGAACCAGGGTGGGGAGGCCACCATCAGCCTTCACCCCCCCGACGAAGACACACAAGAGAGAGAGAGAGCCAAGAAGAGAGCAGCCCAGAGGCACGTTCGGTCTGAGACGTAGAGCAAGACAAAGCCATCTTCTCGCCCCTGTTGCAAGAAAAGCAATGTTTTTTTTTTCTTGCATTAAACCTTGACCAAGATCAGAAGTAGCCCAGGGAGGAGGAGAAGGGATGATCAGAAGTGTTCTTTACCCAGCCAGTGCAGGCAATGTCAGCCTTACCCTCACAACTGCAAAGAAATCCAATAGCCTGCCATCCGCATTAGTGAACTGCGCGGTGAAACACTGTAGTAATATGATGTTTGTTCTGCCCTACAGTACAGCAAGGCTTTGTGCTTCACACCTATACTGAGACCATGGGGAGAAACCCCCGAAAAGCACTAACTTTCACCTGTGTTTCCTTCATTAGGCTACAAGAACGAGCCCTTGAGAAGTATTACCAGACAGCTGAGCTGAATGATCCCGTCCCCAATAGCTGTGAGTTCAACTACAGTACCCCGTCTCTGTACCCGATATGTCATTCCATCTCGTTAAATCGTGACTTTTGATGACGCTGAGCTAGTCTGAGAAAAAAAAAAACATGATGCAGGCAATTGAAAAACTCAGATATTTGCAGTTATAACCATAGCTTCTGGGCTGCTTAAAACGTATCGGCAGTTTTGTCCACAAACCTAGGAAATACATACTGTATGTGGAGACGTCCTGCTTTCCCTTTTCACTTGTGTTCTTATCGACATACCCAGACTCCAAATCCATGAAAACCATTAGCTACCAGCTGTCCAGCTGTGTGCCGAAGGAGGGAAGCTGGACTGTAGTTCAGGAGCCGGAGACGCCGGAAGGAGCCGGAAGAGAAGAGGAAGTCTTCTTCACATTCGAGGGGGGTTTCACCCTGACACACAGCAGGGTGGGTCTGGCCTCCTCCTTCTCAGACACAACACCTCTGCTGAACCTTTTACCTGTAGGCTGGGGGTGCTGACTGTGTGCCACAGGGCACTGTTAGCTCTCCCACATAATCACAAACACCAGCCTTAAATCTACCACAGTATTTTATCCTTCCTTAGCAGTCTTTTAAAGCATTTTGTCACATGCTACGCTTATTTCTGTCTTTTACAGGATAAGGAGAAATTCACAGAAAAATACTACGCCAATGGGAAAAAGTTCCTGACCATTTTCCCTGATGGCTCAGCTCAAGTCTTGTATCCTTCCGACTGCAGGCACCTCGACTTCAAATCCTGAGCAGGAGTGGGGTCAGTATTGTGACCCCTCACAATCAAGACGTTATTGCTCTCCATCAATGGGAGCTGCATGTGGTGGACTACCTCTGTGCTATTTCTTTCCCCCACACCTGTCTGCACACCTTTCAGATCAGGCCATGCATTCAGTGCTCATTCTTCTCCTTCTCGAGGAGGAAGAGGAGTGAAGAACACAGGTGTGTGCCTGTATTTAGACAGCTCAAGATATATCCATTGTGCAACTAAATAATAGTCTGTTCTTTAATCCTCTGTAGGCCTTGAAATGCAGATGAGGGTTTTTTTTTCTCTTTAGTTTGCTCCAGAAACCAGATGAAAGAATATGAGAATCATTGTGATCATCCCAGCAGAGGGGAGTTATATGCAATGCTAATGAAAAACCCTCCTTGATCTACAATGTACTTGAATTCACTAAAGAATAATCCAATAACTATCTTGTAGATTTTATATATACCCTATTCCAGTGCTAGGGAGGCCTTCATAAGCTTTTTGTGATCTTTGTCTTAAACATACTTACTGGTACTCTGCTTTTCAGTATCTGAAATGCATAAAGGTGTGGTAAAAGACAGAGTCCTAACCTTGCTTGTCAATTTAATTTGTCCCTGTGCCAGATATTGCCATTGTTTGCTTTTATAAGCATATGTATCAAGCACTTGGGATAAGCATCTCTTCAATTTTTTCCATCACTCGTGCTGATTTACCCTTGTTTTAACGCGATATAGCTTGTTTCATGTTCCTTATCATCAGCATCCTAGTTATCCCTCTGGAAACCTGTCAATCCTGGTCATTGTCAATGAGAAAAATGAATCCGCATGCGTGGTGCAGGAGGACAGGCTGGGAGAAGCGGCCATCCGGGCCATATTCCAGTCCAACGGAAAAGCCACTTGCTATCATCCAAATGGAGTTGTTTGGTAGGGTCCGTCTCCAATTTCCAGTTAGCTCTTTTTCTGTAACAATTCTTTGCCCTGAAGTGCAGTGATTGAATCACTATTGCTCATGCACCAATGAACAGAAACAGCCCAAGACGATCCATTTGAGTCTCAAATGCAAAAGCATCGCCATGATGATCATTTCCCCCCCTGTGCGGCGCAGGTTGAGCATCGATCTTTTCGGCGGGCTGTGCCTGGATGAGAGGGGCGCCAAGCTGCGGAGGTGGAGGTGGAGCGAGCTCCCTGCCTCCGATCGGCCATCCCCCTTCAAGCCCCTGTTCCTGTCGCTGAACCCTCACGTCGGCGTCCGCGTGCTGGAACAAAGGAAGATGTCCGTGTCCTTCCTGGCTCTGGGGCAGCAGGCCAGGTTCAGCGTGGGCACGGTCCTGCAGGTGCAGCAGGCGTTCTGGAAGGCATGAATCAGACCCGTCCCCCGGTGTTGGGGAGGGGCTCTCAGCTGCCGTCAGCCGGTAACCGTCTCGTCGTTCCCCCAGGTAAAGGAGCCCAGACTCGCTCCCCCCGTCAGGCCCGCCCTGCTGAAGGAGGACCTGCTCCTGCTGGCGGGGAGGATAAAGCTGCACTCCGCCTTGCACAAGCTGCACGGCTGCCTGCGCTTCCCCGCCCACGGGCGGCCGCCCAGAGCCAAGCCCCCCTCGTACCTGACCTCGCTCAGCCGGAGGCTGTGGAGCGTCTGCTCGGCGGGGGCCCTGCCGCTGGATGAGGGAGAGAGGGTGTTCATCGAAGGCTCGGTGAAAGACTGCCTGTGACCTCGCCGGCCACCCCGCTCCGCCAAAGGCCGCGCGGGAAAAGCTCGCGCCAGCCCGGCAAAGCAGCTGCACGATCAACGGGAAACTCTTCCATTACCGCCAGCTGTGAACTGACAGGGCTGTGTTCAAGTAAAGGCGCGCCAGTCCTTTTTTCTACGTATATAGGAGTGTAACACACGACCCTGGAACACGCTGTGCAAACACGACAAACACAGCCGTCTCCTCTCAGACTTTCACCCATCTCTTCTCTTAACTGCTTCACCCACATCAGGGTTGTGGGGGGGCCCAGGAGCCCATCTCTGCAAGCAACAGACATGATGCTTCTAATCCTGTCTGCATGGAATATTAAAAATGCATTCCTCAATCACAGTTCTCACGTGCTAAAGCTAGATTATGCCATGTATGTTAAACAAAAGAAAAACGAGATTTCCCTTAAAAAAAGTCATTTATTGTCTTTATCCATACAGAACGATACCCCCTCCTGACCACTGGATTTTTATTACTCCAGCTGTGCAAGTAGCAAAGGCGCAGAACTCCGTCCAAGCAGGCTTGAGGTTCGTCCAGGTTAAAAGAAGAAAGCCGACTCCGAAGGCAGAAAGGCACATCTGTGAGACGGGCACGGGAACGGCGCAGTGCTGGCAGGGAGGAAGGTCAGCTGAAAGGCCAGCCTGTGCACACTTTCCAACAGCACCCTCGTCATCGGCGGGACCCCGGGGCGTCCCCCCGCGCCCCACAGGAGCCCCCTCCTCCTCACCGCCGCCGCCCCCTCGCCTAGACCATGCCGCTCCACTGCAGGGAGGTGTAGACGACCCCGCCGCTCTCGCCCGGGGAGCACAGCAACACGGTCTTCTTGACGTTGGAGCCCAGCCGAGACAGAGCCAGGAGGTCGCTGAGCGGCGTCCCGGCCTCCGGGGGAAGACACACGGCGATGAAGTGAGCGTGGAAGCGCAGGGGGTCCCCTGGAGGAGAGGCGGACAGGCACTCTGAGGCGCGGACACCCCTCTGTGCGCGCGGTCTCGCGTGACGCAGCACAGGAGGGTCCGACCCCGGTCCAGGAGAGCCCCCACCCAACGGGTTTCACAGCTCATCGCCAAATCACCGGCTTCTACAGGGCTGCCACAGGCTAGCCCTGACCAGCCACTTGTTAAATTAAGCAATTTAGAGATCGTTAACGAATCATTTGCCTTCATCGAATACGTTACTTGCTTATTTGATTACTTCCGGGAGTTCCCTAGGAGATCAGTCACTCCAGGACCGGAGTCGGAGGCTCCCGGTGAATACATACCTGGATAGACGAGGTAGTCTCCTCCAAATTTGCCGGCGGGCGTGACGTAGTAGCCCCGCCGCCGCAGGTCCCGGTACACCCGATACCGCGCTTCCGTTCTCTCGTCGCGCGGCTGGGGCCAGTCGGCGGGCATCAGGAGGCGCTCCTCCGGCTCGTACCCGAGTCGCGCCCTGGCGGTGCACAGCTGCACCGCCGTCGCCGCCTCGGGGAACGTGAAGGAGCTCTCCAGGGAGCTCAGCCGATCCCTGAGTGGCTGCTCCGCGCCGGCGGCGGCCCCGTCTGGAAGAGGAAGAAGGGTCAGAGTCCCAGAGGGCCGAGCGAGCGGGCCAGAGAAGGGAAGCCAGCTCCTGTTGCGGGTCTGGGCAGTGTGGAGCTCCGCGGGGGCCGAGGAGTCGGCGGAGCTCAGCTGCTGCCCCTGCTGGCACTCGACCACGCCCGCTCGGCCGCACAGCGCCGCCCCCTGGACAGCGGCGAAAGGCGCGGGTCCTTTTCTGCCGCGGCGCAATTCGACACGGCAGCAGCGAGGAGCGCCGGGAATCGATCGCGGTCAGGAGCAGCGCGAGACTGGGGCCGGTGCACCCAGCAGAGCTGAACACGGCCTGGGCTTCAGATGGACAGTCCCTCCCGTAACTGGCTCAGCGTGCCTATCCCCGTTCGGCGGAGGAGATCGGCACCCCTTCCACAGGCAAGGACGTTCCCCCCCAGCTGCCCGCAGACAGGAAGGCGAAGGAGTCTGGGACGGGGGAGAAAGACAGACTGGCATCTCGGAGTGAGTGTGACATGAACAACCCCTCTGAGCTGGGAGGCTGCCAGGAGAGGTCGGCCAGGCAGCCCCAGCTTCGTACAACCGCTCGGCGTACGCCTCACTGCAGCCCTTTACCCTTCTGTTTCTGGTTCATCACTCTCTGCAACACCTGCTTCCTGTCCTCCAGGGCGATCTTCTTCTGCTCCAGGAAGCTGTGCTGCAGCCTCTCTCGGTATCTCTCCACCTCCTCTGCCCTCACGCCATCTTCAGCCTGGAAGAAAAAAACTTCCTACCTGACGTTCAAACTCAAACTCCGGACCCCCATCTGGAGACTCGGGGGGCACTCGCATGAGGAACTATTCTGAACAAGGTCACAGACTTTCACTTATTTCAGACAAAGTCAATACAGACCAAGACTTCAATAGCAAGAGAGGCAGGGGGTGAGGCAGCCAAATCCAGTTATTAATAATAATCCTTAAACTTATGTAGCGCTTCTCTGGACACTCCACTCAAAGAGCTTTACAGGTAATGGGGATCCCCTCCACCACCAGTGTGCAGCCCCACCTGGATGATGCTCCAGTCCTCTCCCCACACACCAGCTCTCAGTGGGGAGGAGAGCAGAGCGATGAAGCCCGTTCAGCCAGTTCTTAAGAGGAAGCCAGTTATTAAGAGGCCATGACTGGTAAAGGCCAGGGGAAAATTTGGCCAGGACACTGGGGTTACACCCCTACTCTTTTCAAGAAACTCCCTGGGATTTTTAAAGACCACAGAGAGTCAGGACCTCGGCTTTACGTCTCATCCGAAGGACGAGGGGCATTAGGACCCACACAGACTGCAGGGTGAGCGCCCCCTGCTGGTCCCACTAACACCTCTTCCAGCAGCAGCCTCAGCTTTCCCAGGAGGTCTCCCATCCAGGTACTGACCAGGCTCACACCTGCTGGGCTCCAGTGGACTGCCAGCTGGGAGTTAATTTACAGCCAGTTTATATATCAGTGTACCCCATGTACAAACTGGCTATAAATCATTATATAAACATTCTTCTTGTGCTAGAAGAGCCAAGATGAATTAAACCAGATCTTCCCCGTCACTTGGTCACCTATCAAGCTGACACAGCCAGAGCCTCTCACCGCGGGGTGTCGGGAAACGGAGGCAGGAAAACCCAGGACGGCGCTCACCTCCGGCGGAGCTGCGGTGACCAGCACGGCGCGGCCTGTGTCCCTCAGCAGGCGGGCCTCCTCCGGCAGCAGCTGGGCCGGCCGGCCCAAGCGGAGGTTCTGGCGGGGCTGGCGGGCCAGGGATCCGATGAGCGTGCCCACCACGCCCGCCCGCTCCCGGGCCCCCCGGACGTCGGCTGCCCTCCACAGCAGAGGAGTGGAGCCGCAGAGATAGACCCGGGCTGCCGCAGTTCCCGTCTCCAAACCGGGCTCAGCCGGAAGCCTCTCCTCTTCGGACCCGGGTTCGGCTGGCTGTTTGCATCTCCCGTCCCCCCCAGTCTCTGGCTCACTTTCAAACCCCGTCTCTCCTGGGTGTGCGGCCATGGGGTACACAGCTGTATTATTTCATCTGTTCCTCTGAAACTTTTTCTCCCGTTTCCTAGCTCCGTTTATCTCCGACCAGCAGCCTTCACGGAGCGTGCATAACTCATCAAGCAGCGGGTTTTCCCTGCTATGTGCCTTCGGACTTGAAACTCAACGTCTGCAAATCTGCAACCCTTCCTCGCTCGAGTCCGACAGTGCAATGGAAATCTTGAAGAGACACGTTGATATTATAATCTTAATCAGAATATTTAATAAAATAACCCTGCTGTACTGTGGTGTCTAGTACTTGTTACTTTGTTATGCAATATTCAACTTGGACAGTTCTTAATTTAACGCCCGCGTTGTATTTGAGTGTAAATAACTTGCAATCCGGAGCATCTATCTAAACAGACAGCTCTCCACGTGCACATTACGCTTTCCCTAGAAATACTGGATCTCAAACTGAGGTTAAGCTGCTTAAGCAGAAGTGGAACATAAGCTCTAATGCAAAACCCTAGCTGTTATCTCTATTTAACGGCGAGAGCACGAAACCTCTAACTGGTTTTGCTCACCCGGTCGGAGGAACACGACTCGATCCCATTTCAACTCTAATATGGCAGCCTTCGGTCGTCTCCGGAAGGGCTCGGGCGTTTCCGGCGACCTGGGGGCGGTTCCCATGGACGCGGTGACGTCAGTCAACATGGCGGCCTCCTCGGCTGGGTCTGATCAACTCTTTTCTTAATGTTTTCTTAATAAAGAGGTAAGTTGTATCTTTAAGGAACAGGTAAAGGTTTATTCTAGGAAAGGAAAACGTTTCGGTTGTGGAGCCTTCTTTGGAGGTGTCAGACCGAGTTTAGGTCATTCAAGTAGCAGGAAACTGTTTTACTGTGTTCTCACTGCGACTCTTTATTCAAGACACTGGAGAAATCTTATTTCGTTTACCTTGCTGAAATGTTATTTGAAACTTGAAGCGCTCTGCGGTACGGTGATTCTTGGGGCGTATTTCAGACAATCCGTTTGCAAGCTTTTTAAGAAAAACGCCGTGCAGAAGTAATTTTATTGTGGGGTTCTCGTCGTCGCCACACACGGCACCGCAGTTTAAACAGGAGTGAATTATTTTTTAGTTTTGACTGGGAAAATAAGTTACGCTTTAAATTCCTTACATGAGGTACTACGGAGCTGAGGAAATCAATACATACAGTTAATAAGTGAACCTAATGCAGTAACAATATTTTAAGTAAATGTGTATTAAGAATTAACAATAAAAACAATGACGTTTCCATCTTTATTAGCCTCCAAAATACCGTAGTGTAGGTCTTTGGCAAGGTTTTTGTTGTAAAATAATGAATTGATTACAGATCGAGAGAGAACATTATTTCTTGTTTTTAATCCATACTGTCACAGGGGTTAAACAACACGCCTAAAATACTTCAATACGTATTTTGGAGACTGTCCTATTGTTTTATAAGAAATATCTTCATCGGTGAAGGAAAACCCTGTAGCACCACCTAGTGTCTGTAACAGCAGCCTGGACGTGTGCGATTTTTTCTGTCTCGGTAGTATGAAAACGAGTCCAGTTTCTTCTGTCTGCGTGGACATGCTGTGATGTCTTATTGCTATCACTTGTGCATGTGTAAAAACGCGATTAACGTCCATTAAACAATCACAGTTCAAAGGTTGTGCTTTATAACAAAAAGCTTGAAATTCCTCAATACGACAACCTCTATCCTCGATATTCGAAATAATAGTTTAAACGTTGCAAGACACAGCATTCCTAACGAATAAGGTATATAAGTAATATATACAATATATAAGGTAATAGGCACACACACATATATATATATAGTTGGAAAACACTTAAAACCGTTAGGGAATTGTATTTAGCAGACACAGGGATGTCTTACAACGGTCCCCAAACCATTGTCAGTTTTTATTGTGGCGGAGCTGCAGTGCACGAGCCCGCGATATCTTCTTCCACCAGCCAGCTTGACACACGCGGGACTTGATGTCGTTGCTGCAGAAGGCGTAGATGAGGGGGTTGAGGAGCGAGTTGAGTTCTCCCAGCAGGAAGAGCTCGTCCCTCAGCAGGGCCTTCAGGTGGCACCGGGCGCAGGAGGCCTGCACCAGCCCGGCCATGTAGTAGGGCCCCCAGGACACGGAGAAGCAGACGATGACTACGAGGACCGTGCGCAGCGCCTTGAAGTGTCTCAGGTCCGCAGACCGCGGGGGCGCCGGGCCGACGGAGACCTGCCGGATCCGCTGGCGCTGCAGGTGAGCGGTCCGGCCCAGTAATATCTGGGCGCAGATCAAAGTGAGGAACACGGGCATAAAGACCACGAAGCAAATGATGTACAGATACTGATTCTTCGTCGAGTATAAAAGGCCACAGACGCCCGTATAGTTAGTCTGCTGCAGCTGCGGAGCAATTAGCGGCAGGTTGCCCACGGAGAAAGAGAGACCCCAGAGAGCAGCGAGGGCCGCCGACACAGTCCTGTTGGTCACGGTTTTGTGGTAGTGGAGCGGACGGGTCACAGCCAGCCACCGGTCGAGAGAAATGAGCAGCAGAGTCAGCACAGAGCCCACGCAGGGACTGATGGTGAAGCAGATCCTCAGCAGACAGAAGGTCAGATTCTTGTCGAAGTCGCCGTCGTACAGATCGTCCAGGGTCTCCACCACGCACATGAGCCCTACCAGCAGGTCCGCCACGGCCAGGTTGATGATGAAGACGTAGCCCTTCGCACGCTTAGCCTTGATCAGCTTGTACGCCACAATAATCACAACTATATTCGGAACCGGAATCAAGATCCCCAAAGTCGCGTGCAACACGGCGTACACAACTGACATTCCTAACAGCGCTGGTTCCCGGCGGGATTCAGCAGACCGTGATCGCTGCAGTCATCGCTGTGCACAAAGTGACACGGGTTTCGGTTCTCCAGAGGTCGTTTCAATGCTCGTGAAACAGCATCAGGCAAGACGGCCAAGATTTGTTAGCACATCTCTCTGATTATTCAGAGGAAAATCCGTCCGTTTCACTGTGAGATCCCCTCTGAATGACAAGCCCGATGAAGTTATTTAGTCCGGTTTTCTCCCGTTTTGGAGTTGTATAACTCACAGGTTCTCGGACTGCTCTCCACACTTTGCTGCAATGATGTGATGAAAGGGGGGAAATTGTTATCACAAAATACACAGGTAGATCTTCCCTTTCTCTCCTTGTTCAAACAAGGCTAGATAAGCTATCACAACTGGTCATGCGCAATGTGTACTTGAGGGTACACGCCTTTTCTGTGTTGCTTCCAGGAAAACCATGTTGTTTTTGCTCTCTTACAATAATCGGTTCATATTTAGGCATCAAGCTGAAATATTGGCTCTGTTTAAAACTGCTGTATTTTGTGCTTCCCTGGTGTCTTTGTATTTCAGTTACTTAAGGATTTTCAGCACCATGGGTTAAGACCTGTGAAAGATTTCACTTTTCCTCGCATGTCACGATGACATGCGTCTTGATTCTGTCAGCATTATTTAGACCAATAAAACTGCTTTAGTGTCAGACGCAAGCAGACTACGGTTTAAAAGGGAGGAAAATCCCTCCTTGCTGTAGTTTAATACAGAACCATCATCCAGCCATGAGGAGAGGATGAAGTAGATTTTTAAGAGTTCTTGTTTTTAGGTCCATGCATTGGGCAGTAGGCACTGGGGTGCTTTTGTAAAGCTGAGGCATGGAACAGCAACTTTATTGGCTTGTACTTAAAAAGCACTTTTCATTACAGTACACTCTCTATATATGGGATTCATCCAGTACTGAAGTGAGGCATCAGTTCTCCAGTTGAGTTAAGGGGAAACGTCAGGGATGCCCGAGTCAGTGTGTATCTAGGACACACGGGTAACAGTCCTGCTCTTGGGCACAGCGCTAGGGAAATTTCAGTCCCCCGTCTTGTGGCGCAAGCTGGCACGTTCCCAGATCTGGCTAAGGCAAGAATTCCCTGGACTTCTCACTCCGGAGGTGAATGGGAAGTTTAAATGCAGCTGCAATGCCCAGTTTGCACCCAAGGTCTCCTTTTATAAGAATATAACTGGAAATGGAGTGAAGATCAAATATAGTTTTACAGGTATGTCTTTCAGACTTACATTCCAAATTTGTTGGGTTGTTTTTTTTTTTTACCATTTTTAAACAGCTAATTTTATAGGATCCCAAATTCTGGGGCAGGAGAAAAAACAGTCTGGAAAAAGCAGGTGTCCTTAAACTAAGGGCTCTCGGCTCGGGCAGGTGTGGAATGTACCCGAGTCGGCCAGGACACCTCATGTTGGTCCGTGTCACTGCTGTATCCTGATCAGTAACGGCTCTAAGAAATACTCCAGCCCACACCAGGTGTGTAAAGAATGTATGAAGAGAGACAAATGTTGTGCATTAAAGTTCTCTGCTGATGTTTGGCTTATAAACATTAAACACTGTACATCTCTACACCATTCAGGATCAAAGACAGCTGCCAAGAGCATAGGTTAATGTATCATGGAGAGAGCTGGAGAACTGAAGAGGTTCAGTCCAGAAAAGTTAATCAGTAATGAGTCCTACAATAAAAAAGAAGTCACCTTAACAATTCTGTTGCCTGGTGACATTTGTTCTGTATAAAAACTGTCCCGCAGACCCTACAATATTCTCATCACCTACAGATCTGCATTTGCTTTGCCTGTGCCAACAACAGCCATGCAAATTCTGTGAAACCCTTTTAAACTTTTGTCACAGGGGAAAAAAAACATCAAATCATTTCTGCTTATTTAGCAGAACTTACCAAGAATTGTAAATGACATCAATGTGATTAAATGTTTTGATAGGAAGAAATACAATAAAAGCAAACACAGTTCATCACCAAACGACGATTCCTGTCATTTATATGCAGGGAAAAACAGACAGCCATCCAAATCCATCCAAAGAAAAGCAAACAGGATTGCTTACACTTTATTCTCGATCCCATTTATAACTCTCTGTAAGGAATATATTAACACGATTAATTTCTGTCATGAACCATTAAGAAAAATTAGTGCACACCCTAGGTTAGGAGAACAATTCAGAATTTGGGATTTGTTGCTAACATCTTGTACAGCAGAGACTGGTTATCATCTAATACATATCAGTCTATTAATACCTTTCAAATAGTTGTTTTATAAATGCCAAAGTGATAAAGTGGTAACCATAAAATTATCTGTTTTGTGTACCATAATCTAACATTTAAAGTATTTCATAAAAGGTACTTGGTAAATCACTAACTGCATTATTCTGTTACACTTCTGTTTACAAATGTCACATGAAATCCTCACAAGTCTGAACTTCCAAAATGACCAATTAGTTGATTGGCAAGCAGTGGACATAAAAAGACAACAGTCTCGATGCAACAGTGAACAGATAACAGTCTCAATGCAGCGATCCTTCTTGAAACACCGTTAAGTTAATTGCACACCCCTTCAAAAATCCCACTGGAGTAGCAGAGATGCTCAACAATCAAACTTTTTTTTTCCCCGTTAGAAATAATCCACTTTATTATAATTTTAATTCCACTTTATGCTATAAAAAGAAATATAAAAATTACAACCAATCAGAAATCAACTTAAAAATGTCATTTGGATGTTTATCTGACATTTTTTTGAACTGCGAAATACAAAATACAACAAACGTACGTTAACATTTAGCTATACAAAGGCTCAAATTAGTGAATAAAAAATTGAAACTATACATTTTATTGCACCCTGATGAACGTGCTGCAATAAAAATGAACATCCCCAATGCTCAAGGTCACCCGTTTCAAAGGAGCACTCCCAGAGGTTCAGCAAGACTGATAAGAGCTTCCAGCCTGCACTTGCAGAAATCTGCCTTCAATGCAGTCCTTCATAGACATCAGCTCACTGCCCGTGGAGAGAGCCATTTAAAACCTGGAACACAGGGCAAAGCGTTAAACATTTCTTCTGGAGTTAGTCTACATTCAGAACTCTTTTCCAGCATTGACCGTTCTTGCCAAATCGCACAGAATGAGGGGCGAGATTCCATACAGATGCAGGAATATATAAATCATCTTTCAATAAGTGTATTCTGAAATGTGCACAACAAATTTGGATATCTTTAACAGTGGGCCAGACGTATATATAACCCTGGTCCTTGAAGGCCAGTGTGTTCGCAGGCTCTCATTCCAACTCAGCTCTTAATAATGGCACAAATTAGCTTGTAACAGGCTTAATAAGACAATGTTTAACAGCCTTTCCCAGCTCTTGAGATGCAGCTCCTATAAACAGACCTAAGCAAACCTGCAGACACACCGGCCCTCCAGGATCAGAATGGGACAACTCCTGCTCTAGACACACAAGTTAGAACCTCTTTCATCTCTACAATCAATGAAAAACATCTCACGATGTCACAGACCAGAAACCTACAGGAGGGCTCTTCGCCGTTAGCAGACCAGGCTATGACCGGTGATGTGGCAGTGAATCCATGCGGGCGTTCAGCTTCATCTCGTTCTCCAGGATCTGGACGAGCTGCTGCATCGATGGGAGATGGCCTGATTCCAGCTTAGACCACACTGGAACATCTGCACCAAGCAAAAGCACCACAGTCCTTTTAAGGATGTCCCAGTAACGGCTCACCCGCAAGAGCCATTTATGTGCGTTAGAACAGTAGTGCTTAATAACTGATAAAGACCTTTCACTATTCTATCAGCAACGAGTGTGTCTGCACACATTCACTGTACTCGGCACTAGTACGTTCAGGGCCACGCTGAGGATGTCCCATGGTGCTGGTGAGGTGCTTAAACAGCGTCACGTTTTATTCAAGGTGAAACATCCAGCCTACGGTTACAATTTGAACTTCCTGTGTTTTTACTCAGAAGGAGGGCCGACGATACATTCCCACAAACAATAAAATGAAATTCCGGAGCGTGACAAGCTTACCGTTCAACGTGATTTCAAATGCCCCTGTGGACATGCACTGATTCTCAACCATGTTACTGAGGAAGAAGACCATCATACAAGCATAGATCTACAAAAAAGAAATAGGCTGAATTGAGCTACAGGTTACTGAGAAGACTCCAACTGCAGCGCTCACCTTATTTCACAAGTACAGCGGCATAAACAAGGTCTGCTGTTTTCCAGGAGGGCACTCCTGGGACCAACTTATCTAATAAGTACACTTGAGGATATACTGCAGTGATCTCCAAAAAGGTAACCAGGTATATTAGATTTGATCATTTACCTGCTTTATA